AGTGTGTGTGTGTATATATATATATATATATATATATATATATATATATATATATATATATATATATATATATATATATATATATATATATATATGAGAAAGATTTCACTTAAAGGCACTATTCAACTTTGCTCGATGGATAAAAGTTCTTCGTGGCTGAGAAGATTAAAGCACGTTTGATATAACGACGATTCTCTCTATCCAGAATGACGCCGGTTCTCTAATATTCCGACCGGTAGACGGAAATAAATATACTGTTTAATAAAAAAAAAGATGGAGTGTCTACTCAAATTTGAGTATCCAATAAAAATAACGTTTAAAAGGATAAAAACTTTCGGATTAAAAATTCATAAGTCCATCCATTACTTCTTTAGAAATTGCTTTGATTACATACCAAGAAGAAACTAAGCAGATATGAAAATTTCGAGAGTGTATGGCAAGAAGGATTTCACTTAAAGGCCCTGGTTGGCAAAGTTTCTTCGTGACCGAGTCAGTTAAAAGTGGGGATGCAGGTTCGAATCCTACCGGTGAGCATATATCTTTCTTTAATAAGATTTCTCGAATTTTCAGTCCGGTAAACGAAAACAAATAAATATACTGTTTACTAAATAAACGGAGTCTCTACTCAATTATTAATATCAACTCAAAATAACTTTTTAGTGATAAAATCCGTTGGCTTAATAAATAAAAAAAAAAAAACTATGACTTCTTAAGAAATTGCTTTGTTTGCATTTGGATAGGAAACTGAGCAGATATGAAATTTTCGAGAATCTACGACAAAAAGGATTTCACTTGAAACCCTTATTCGGTCTTGCTTGATCGGCAAAGACTGTTCGTGGCAGAGTTGGTTAAAGCACGTCAGATCTAACAACGTATAACAACGTATCTATAGAGAGAGAGAGAGAGTCTGCAAATAATGTATACACACTTCAGGAAAGGAAAAACTTTTATAAATATTGTAATACTAAATTTATCCAGACGTCACAAGATTAATGCAAGTTATCTTTGTATTCTAGAATCACAAGAGATGCTCAAAATGGTGGCCTTTAGATTCCAGACATTTATTAGTAAGGCGAATTACTGCTTGAGTAACGTTGGCCAAACTATCCGGTGGGATTACTGCACATGCATTATCAATTTCTTGTCTAAGGGTCGCCAAGGTAATGCCATCTGTCAAGAAAATATCATACTATAGTGAACAGTGTTATCGCAATTTGATTAAACTACGAAAGAGATTTTTTTTTTCCTTTCTTGAAGTGTGTATACATTTTTTTGCGGACTCTATATATATCGGGTGTAACAGCAAAATTGAAGCATTTGAACTGTTTATCACATCAAAGGATGGAGATTTTTTTTAAAGATGGGATCAAGTATTTAAAGTGACGTTGGAGATTTCAACTAAACAAATTAGTTATGTAGTATTTCAGAAGCGTTTTATTCATTTCCTATATAGTGCGTCATTTCATGTGTGACAACCTAATATTTAGAAATCCAATGACCAGGATAGCTGACTGACACCATCTGGGTATAGAGTTATATCTGTTACCATGAGTAAGCACTCCAAAACATTACATAGGAAAGAGACAGCATGGAGTGCTATATTTAGTGACCGAGTTGTTTTGTTTTAGAGTCGTTAAGATTAACAAGCCATTCTTTGCCCCAGTTAACAAGAGATTGTAGGTCATTTTTTTTACATTAGCTGCTATTTAGATCTTATAAAACCGATCAGACTTACCATTAAGACAAGAGTATATATGTGTGCCTTGTGCATAGATATTGAGAAGGTATATCGGAATGGTCGTTGATGAAAATCAGGAACCACGTAGGTCCAAGGATCGATGTCCCATTAGCATATAATGCAAATAGATCTAGAAGAGTGGTCGTTCAAGATAACTTTCATTTCGCGATTTTCTAAGAAAGATTGAATCAGATCCAAAATTCGTCCAGAAACGCCATAACCCTTCAACTTGTGAAGAAGACCGGCATGTTAAACCCTGTCAAATAACTTCGAGATATTCAAAGCAAGTGCCCAAGTTTCGCCATTCTAAAGCTTGATAGACACTTTTAGCAATAACCGTTAACACACAAGCAGTTGATCTAAAGAAGCCAAAGCCATGTTGTTTGTCTGAAAGAATACCCTGTGAGTTGAGATGCTTAACCAATTTGTAGTTGATTAGAGCATCTAGTACATTGCCAAAAAGAAGTAGAGGCTAATAGGCTAGAAGGATCAGAAGTGAGTTCTTAAAGACCGGAATTACAGAAGAGGATTTCCAACAAAGAACACCTCAAGAAGCAGCAATACATTTATTGCAAAGTGTACAGGAGCCACTTCAGGAGTTTATATTTGAAGGGCTATTGCAGAGATACCATCAAGTCCACATCCTTTGTGGTAATCCTGTTTATAGATGGTAACAGAAACCATGGATGAGGTCATATGCGCATAATACAGTAGAGACTCAGTTATCAGTGGAAAGTCACGCAAAGATACTCCAGATGAATCGAGAGTAGAATGGGAAGAGAATTTACAAGCGAAACATTCTGCTTTATCAGCAGAAGATAATAATACCTTAATTTGAATGAAGATAGGGACAGAAGCCTTATTTTACACACTATTCCAGAATGTGTACCAATAAAAACAGAATAGTAACAATCAAAATGGTATAGAACAATTAAAAAGCAATGATGCCAATCAAAATGGAATAGTAGCAGTCAAAATTAAATAATGCCAATCAAAATGGTATAGTACCATCTAATCATAATAGTACTAATCAAAATACCAATGAACTCATAATAGTACCAATAAAATCATAATAATATTAATCGAAAC